GACAGGTTTACAGGCCGGTTTGGGGCTGAGCCGAGCACCCTCACGGCAGGACTGGTTGGGGGTAACGAGCCCCAGAGCCCCCCCCCGGCCCACGAGCACGGTCAGCTGTTCCATGAAATAAAATCGTTGCAAAGCACGAGAGCAGCTTTGCATCCGAGCTCGCCAGAGCTCTGCCGTCTTTTTATATTAAATGATTTTTCAGTCCATTCCTCTGCGGCATTTCTAGTCCTGCCATAAAGCCATCACTCATCGGCAAGGTCCTGGGCCAGAGAAGGTGTCTATGCCCCTGGAAATCACAATAGGGGTTTTATTCTTGGCTGAAGTAGATGGAAACAGTGCTTGTGGCCAGGTAAACATCTCCGATTCGCTCAGTGGAAGCTGCAGGCCTGGACAGACGGACACACACCCGCCGCTGCATCCCTGAGAAAGGGGCAGCCTGCGGCGGGGGGGGGGAGAGGAAACTCCAGCCTTGGCTGCGGGATAAGGGTCAAACATTGCAACAGCTGGAAAGTGGATTTAAGCCAAAGCAAACAAACCCAAAAGCCCGAAGAAAATAAGGCAGCCTGGATCTGTGCTGTGTGTTTAGCAGAGGCAGAAGAAGGCTGAGACAGCACGAGGCCCCGGGAGACCTCAGCACCCAGACCTGGTCACCGTGTCCAAGAAACATGAACTGTGACGAGAAGGAGCACAAGGAGGGCTCGGAGGCTGTCTGGGGACACAGGAACCCTTCGCTACAGCGAGAGCGTGGCAGGGGCTCGGTTTTCCTATCCTAGAGGGAGTAAAGAAGCCATCAGGTGATCCGCTGTCATCTATAAATACACCCCAGGGACTGAGTAAACATCATGGGGAGAAAAAAAATAAAGTGAAGCTGAAGAACAGCACTGGCACAAAGACACATTTATAGAACTGGCCAGACATGAGTTTAGGCTGGAAGGGAGGTGACAGCTCCTGCCTGGCCATGCAGGGAGGTCCTCAGCAGGCTTGGACAGAGCCACTGGGTAAACAACGTGGTCCTCTTCAAAGCTCCGGCAGTTTGGGAAAGGAGATGATAAAGCTGAAGTGACAGGGGACAGACCGCTGTGGCCATGGGGGATGGTTCAAGCTGCTGTTCCTGCCTCTGTGAGGCCAAGAGCTGCCCCAGAAGAGAGCACAGATGCCTCTTTGCTTACAGACAGGACCAGCATGCTGGAACGGCTTCCCACAGGCTGGCTTCAAACCACTGCAGCGGGCTTTGGAAAGTCAGAGATCCAGCACGGGAAGGCACTAACCCCTCCCTCACCCGACAGCTCTGCAGACCTCCCGCATCCAGAATTAAAACCGCGGCAAAGCCGGACCGAAGCATCCCTAGCAAGGAGACACCAGCGTGACAACACTGCAGGCACTGAAAATCCACCACTTGTTTTCCTTGCACCGCCCAGACAGGGTGAAGATCCTTCGTCTTCAAGCAGAGGAAACATCCTGCCTCACATTCAGCCCATGAACATGAAAGGTTCTCACAGCAGCAGCAGCATTTTCTCAAAGCTGGATGCATGTTTCAACGTCAGGAAGGGCTGTCAGGTTGTTGTCAGCTATTTACATGCTGTACCCAGGGCGAACCGGCTCACATGACGTTCACTTCTGGCACAACACTGCTCAGCTCACAGGCTGAAAATATCCAACTGATTAGGAAAAAAATGGCTGCTTATAAATAAAATGTGGGACTGTTCCTGTCACTGTAATAAAAAAAAGTGTCAAAACAAAAACAAGCCTGTGCAGAACAGAGGTCTGGCCAGGCTGCTGCTCAGGTCTTGCCAGGATGAGCTTTATTATTTGTATACCAGAATATTTGGTGTTATAATCACGGCAGTGGGTGATACCACTGCAGGAAAGGGTGCTGCATGCTGTCTGCAAAACTGGCAGCCTCACCCACCCAGGACCGTGGAGATTCAGTGCTTTGCACTGCAGAAAAGCACCTGCGAAAAGCAAAGCGAAAAAAGCAAAACCCTCTCGGTTTTCCAAAACACCCCGAACCCTAAACCCCAACTCAGCAGTGCCACAGCAGGAGGATTCACACAGAGCTCCACACACAACGTGTGAGACGCAGCCTGCAGTGTAGGTGCTCTGGACGCTCACGGCCCACTCGCATTCCTTCTGCCCTCTGGTCTCTAGCACTGCTCTGGGCTCAGCTCCGTAAGTGAGAGTTCAGAATTTGACAGAACCAGAAAATGATAACAAGAAAACCTGAAAGCCCAAGGCTGCTGACAGTTTCCATACTTGGGAGAGTATTTCTGGCTGTGCCTTTGATTCGGAGGGTGGCTGGAAAACCCAGCTCCCAAAGGGCTTTGGTAACATTTAATTTTCATTCAGAGGCTTTCATGCCACGCAAAATAACAGAAAAGTATACAAGAAACTTCTACCACTTCGATACATCTAAAACCAGTTCACGCTGCAAATCTTCTCTGGCGTCTCGACCGCCTTGCGCGAGTGGCAGAGCCCTCGGGCCCATCTCGCCCGGGCTGCCTGAGGTCCTCCAGCACCTTCACCACATCTCAGCCACCCATAGTGACATGTCGCTGCAGTAGGAATGAGGTGTGGGACATGGCAGGAGCTTAGGGTACCCGTGGAAATGCCATTTTCCACACACCTTCCATCCTTATCAGGGCCAGCACGGTGCCAGGTACACAGGTTGATGGTCACGGCCCCGCTGCCACGTTTGCTCTTGCAAAATTGCAGCTTGGTATTATGTGGACTTTAAAAGGCCGTCGATAAATGCCCTGCTGTGCCATGAGCCTTTTCATGTGCTACATGTGTACACAGAAATGAAGGCAGCCAGGGCCTGCCATGAAAGCCAGAGCCACACATATAAACCCCTGCAGACCCAGATACCCTGCGAGTTAAGCAGCTAAAATTAATTTTTGCTGAAGCTGCTTGTGACAGCCCATCATCTCTCCCCAGCCCAGCTCCACAAAATAATCCCCTACAGAGAGAAGCACCTTTACAGCAACAGGCTCAGTGCAGCATTACCAGATCTGGAGCAGGGAAAGGTGAAAGCCGATGGGATGAAACTGTTTTTTTCCCCATGCATTTCCCAGCAAAGCCCGCAGCAGCCCCAGTCCCTTTTACAAGGAGGACTCGTGTCCCCAAACCTGGTGCTGACAGGGACCAAAAGGTGCCACCACTGCATCCAGAGTGTTGCTGTCCCTCCGAGTTGTGGCAGACACAAAATGGGGCACAGAGGGCAGGGGGGAACAGAAAACAGCCCTGGTGCATCACACCCCCATAGGGCTGCCACCGCGGCGGCTCTCGGCATCACCCGTCTGTGCCGGCCAGCGAGGGTCCGTGATGGCAACGTGGCACGGAGGAACAGGGGTCAACGGGAAGGCTCGATGCTTCCCCAGTTCGCAAGTTCACAGCTCAGCGGGGGACCTCGGTTCCCCCCATGCTGGTGTCAAGGGGGGGGTCTCCGGGGCTCCCGCTGCCCCAGGCCAGGTGGTAGTGGCTCAGGTGGCCGCAGGAGCGGCTGGCAGCTCCTTGGCGGGGCTGGGGGGCGAATCAGCACTGCTGCTGATCACGTTTTCATACTGTGGCTCTTCCTCTGGGGTAGCCTGTCCCTTCATTTCAAGGCTGAGGACTAACTCCGGGCTTTTGCCCCTCTCCATGGCCCCTGCAACATCGCTGGCTCCATCCTGGGCCTCGGTGCTTTTCGGCAAGGGAGATGCAAGAAGGAAGGACTGTCTCTTCCCAGGGAGATGTTTGCCAGGGGATGGTTCAGCAGGAGCTCCTGGGACACTCTCCCTCTGCTTGCAACTATTCAGCGAGTCTCTGCACTGTGCCAGGGCCCGGCGTGGTGGCTTCTGGATGGCCTCGACACTCCTCCTCACCTTGGGCTCCTCCTTTGCAGCCCACTTGCCCTTCTGCAAGCTGCCCAGCCGCTTGAGCATGGCCTGGACTGGTCCCTCGCCACCCCCCTCCGCCTTGGGGTCCTGCCCGGCCGTTCCCACCATCATGTAGATGGTGGTGACGTTGGGCTCCTTCCCCTTCGCCTCCCAGCTGCCAGATTTTGCAGCCGCTTCAAGCGCCTCCACTCTCTGGGCCACGTGCCTGGTGCTGGAGACCACCCGCCGGCGTCCCCCCGGGGTGGCCCAGGGTGATGGCCGGTGGCTTTCCTCCCCCTTGCTGAGGGGCTCGGGGCTCTCGTAGCAATCGCTGGCTGGTCGTTCAGTGGGGGGCTCGGCTGCTGTGTCCCCCGGTGCTGAAGACATCTTGGATGGGATCCACGGGGTCTTGGGCTTCCGGCCAGGGCTGGGGGTCTCTGCCGCCCCAAATTTCGTTCCCTCAGCAAAGGATACAGAGGGCCGCTTGGCTTTGGCGATGCTGGAGGTGCGAGGGATGGCGAAGGGCTGCGAGACATCCTCGGAGTCGAAGGCAGATGGGTCCAGGAGTGTCTCTCCGGGGGGGGATGCCCCATCCTGTAGCTCGGCCCCCCCCAGCAATGGAATGCCTGTGGGAAAAGAGGAAAAGAGTGAGGGTTGCCAGAGCTACCCCCCCCGCCCAGGGACACACTCAGGGACATCGGGACAGGGGCTGATGCAATAGGATTGTCCCTGGGAGTGTTTCCTCAGGAGGAGGTTGTGAAATGGGGCTGCCCACACCGGGCATGTCCCATCACACAAGGCCAAGCACGGCCCCTGGGTGTCCTTGCAGGCAGGAAAATGACAGTATAAAAATAAACGCTGCCTGTGCCCAGCACCCATCCCTGAGACACCCAAGGTTGGTCACAGGGCAGGGTTGACCCTGGGCAGCCCAGAAAGGCTGTGGGTGGTCAGGGAGTGGAGGAGCAGTCATGGACCTCACCTTCTCTGGGAGGGACAGAGTACTCGGGTCCCTCGTTGTCAGTCTCGAAGGAGGAGGAGAAGGAGCTGTCTGAAACCCACGCAGCCGACGGCGGCTCGATGAAGCTGGGGTTGAAGGGGATTTCCGTGTCGTGGTGGGAAACTGGGGAGGAGAAGACACCCAGCTGAGTCAGGGCACCCTGGGGTGCTCTGGGCTGAGATGAGATCCCACACCTGCCCTGAGCTATGCAGTGGTGTGAGGGGGGCTGCAGGCTCCCCCCGCAAAGGGTGTCAATGCAGAGAGCATGGGAGTGACACGCTGGAAGGACTGTTGGGAGCTCTGCTTTTTTTACCTGTGACTTTGGGAAGTTTGTAGCCACCAAGGGAAAAACAAGGCATCATAGCACTGAGGTTCGCCAGCACCCCCTGCACGTGGTGCTTCATCCTGGCCACCACATCATCGTCCGGCACGGCCGCCCTGCACACGGGAGATGAACGTCAAGGGGCATGGAAGAGGGGGTTTTGCGTTGAAGTTTGCAAAATATAAAAAAATACCTGTCTCTAGCATCTGCAGGACCAGCTCCGCAGCAACAGCAGGCAACACAGAGCAGCAGCAGCAGCAGAGGGACAAGGATGGCAGCTGCAAGGGTCCCGTGGTCCTTAAAACCTGTGTGGAGAGGATGGGTTGAGTCTGGCGTGTCTTGTGGCTGCCCAGCCCACAGAGCTGCCCCGCAAGGAGAGCGCAGGAGCTGGCAACTGGTGGTGGGGCCAGGAGGCACCGGGCTGCACTGCAGCCTCCCGGCACCTTCCCCAGCAAGGATGTTCCATCCCTTGCCCAGTGCCGAGGAGTAAATTTGAGGTTGCTCTTACTCAACACACAGTCACCCCTCACGGGGTGGCAGGTCCCCCGGGAGCACTGGCAGGGCGAGGAACAGTTCACTCCAAAATACCCCTCCAGACAGGTATTGTTGCAGCTGAAAGAGAGTAAAAAGGAGGGAAATGCCCCCGGGGAGAGCGAGGCCCCGGCTCTGCCCCGCTCCCGGCGTTACCTGGCTCCCCAGTAGCCTGCCTGGCAGATGCAAGCTCCTGACACAGGGTCGCAGCTCCCTGCAACACACTCTGGGCAGAGGAGCTGGCATCCATCTCCGAAGGTGCCCGCAGGGCAGGAGCTGTTGCAGCTGCCCAGAGAGAGAGCGAAACATCAGCCCGTGGCGCCCTGGAGCAGGGACCCCCACTACGAGGACCAGTGGTCTGATCCTGGGTGTACCTGGGTCCCATCCAGCCGGGATCACAGCGCAGGCAGGACCCGGTCTCTGGGTCACAGGTCTCCCCACGCCGGCAGCGGGGACACGGGTGGAGGCAGCCCTCGCCGTGGAAGCCGGGTGCGCAGGGTTCCTTGCAGAGGGTCCCGTTCCAGCCGGGCTGGCAGGCCAGGCAGAAGCCGTCGACGGGCGAGCAGGGCTGGCTGCGCTTGCAGCTCCCACAGCTGCGTGGGCAAAGGGGCAATGAGGCCTCAACGCCCACCCCCGTCCCCCGTGAAACACAGTTTTCATCCCACACCAGCACTGAGCATTGGTTTGGACCACGGGGAAATACCCTGTAGTGCCTAATGGTCTGTAGTAGCAAGGGGGCAGGAGGCAAGCAGGGAGAGATGCTGCTTCATCACCCTTGGGGAGCAAGACCAAGGGCGACCAGATTTTAGATGACTCTGGTGCTTCCTGCTGGTGTGAGATGTTTCTTTTCAGAGAATCACAAAATACCAGGTGGGAAGGGACCTCAAGGATCGTCTGGTCCAACCTTTCTTCACAAAAGCACAATCTAGACAACATGGCCCAGCCCCCTGTCCAGCTGAAATTTAAATCTGTCCAATGCTGGGGAATCCACCACTTTCCTGGGGAGGTTATTCTAGTTGTTCTCACTATGAAAAATTTTCCTCTTGTGTCCAATCGGAATCTCCCCAGGAGCAACTTGTACCCTCTACCCCTTGTCTTTTCCATGTGACTCCTTTTAAAAAGGGAGTCTCCAACTTCTTTGCAGTCACCCTTTAAACACCGGAACAATATTTTTGGAGCAACACTGATGCTCTGCATCCAACCAGAGATGCTCAAACCCCCAGGATGGATCTCCCTGCCCAGCCAAAGGGCAGACACAACCGTGATGACTGACTGAGGCCTCTGGGTACCTGCTGGATCCCCCCCTGCTGCCCCCAGCTCACCTGTGCACACACTGAGACCCGTATTTCCCTGCCGGACAGGGGTCCCGGCAGCTCCTGCCCTGGTAGCCGGGGCTGCAGCTGCAGTGGCCACTGAGGGGGCTGCAGGAGCCGTGCAAGCAGTCGCAGCGCCGCTGGCACGCCGGCCCCCAGAACCCAGCTTTGCATTCGCACTTGCCCGTCTCCTGGGCGCAGGGCGAGAGGTTGCAGGAGCACTTGAAGCTGCACCTCCTGCCCCACCAGCCCGGCAGGCAGCGGCAGTGCCCGGTCAGGGGGTCGCAGCGGGAGCTGGTGGGGTTGCACTGACATTGCTTCTTGCAGGTGGGCGCCCACCAGCCCGGCTCGCAGTGGCAGGTGCCGGTGAGGGGGTCGCAGTGGCCGTGGGGGCCGCACGGGCAGGGGAACTGGCAATGATCTCCCCAGTGGTTTTGGTCGCAGGTGCAGTGCCCGCTCGCCGGGTCGCAGCGCCCGTTGGGGTGGCATGGGCAGCTCCGCTTGCAGTCGGGGCCCCAGTACTGCTCGGGGCAGCCTGCGGAGGGAAGGAGATAGCGAGGACGGGGGGTGACGGGGCCACCCAACTGCCCCCCTGAACATCCAGGCTGTCAAAGGGGGTGGTGAGGGCTGAGCCCTGGGGAAGCACTCACGGGAACTGCAGTCTGCTCCGAAGAAGCCGGGTTTGCAGAGGCAAACCCCAGGTTTCACGCACACCTCGTCCACCCCGCAGGCATCCTCCCTCTCGCACAGAGCTGTCGGCAGCAGGGCAGGGACGTCAGCACACGATGGCACCCCCCAGGCTCACATCCCTCTGCCGTACCACCTCCCGCCGAGGCAGAATTCCCAGGGAAACTGCTAACCCACCTCCCGCTCCGTCCCTCCAGCTGGGCTGCAGCACTGTTAGCACCTCGCTCAGTGGGTGTTTGGGGGTCCCCACGGTGCAGCACCCCAACACCGCCGCTCGAGGAGAGCTGTAGGGCTTCCCCCCAACACTCGGTGCCACAGAGGAGCCACCCAGCCGAGCATGGGGACCGAGCTTTGGGCTTTGTCACCATCCCTCACTCACCGGCCGTGCACTCCCGCCCTTCCTGCTTCCAGCCGGGGCAGCACTCGGGGCCGGTGGGGAGCCTGCGGGAGAGACGCGGGGGCCGTCAGCCGGGGCGGGGGGTGCTGGGACCAGTGTGGGTTCGCATGTGGCTTCACAGCTTCGGCTAAGGCGAAGCAAACACTTGGCCTGGCTGGGCCCAGCGGGTGGGGTGGCGGGGAGGCCCCAGAGGCATCGCTCCGGAAGGAAACCAGCAAAATAGAAGGAAATTTAAGAGGCTGCAGCCCGAGCGGGCAGCGGGGTGGGCGGTGGGGCAGGCCTGCTCTGCTCGGCCACTACAGAGCCCAAACCGGGTCCCCGGTGCTCCAGGAGGGGCTCAAAAGTTTTGCCAGTGACTCAGCACAAAGTCATCAAAGTGAAGACAACAACAGGCGTCGCCATTGATGGCGAGACCAACAGAAGGGGCAACGTAGCAGCGAAGCGGAGGGGACGTCAGCTCCAACAGCCCTTTGGGTTTTGCGACGCCTGCCTTTCCCACCTGGTGCACGATGGAATTTTTGCCAACGCTCCCACATTCCCCCATCGCCCTGTGCGTTGGGGGTGCGTCAGAAATAACTCCTGGAGAAAGGGTCTGGGTGTCCGTCATGCCCATACATGCCCCAGCCACGGTCCCCAGCATCCCCCCAGCCTCTGCACCCCCACAACGCCAGGCTGCAGAGCTCTGTCCGTGGAAGGACAAACGGGCGATGACTCCCTGGGGCTGCTGAGAGGCCTCAGGAGATGGCGGGGCACGAGTGGGGACCCCCATGGCACCTACCTGCAGACGTTCCTGCCATTGGAGTCGAGTTCCTGGGCAGAGCTCTGCACCCACAGCCACAGCTGGAGGCAGAGGATGGGCCGGGCGCTGCCCATCCCGGCGGGGCACAAGGGTCCAAGTCCCAGCAGCTCCCCAGCCCCGCGCCGGCGTCTCCCGTCTGTCCCGTCCCTCCCGCAGTGCAGACTCTTCCTCCCACCAGCCTTGGGTTTCTTCCTGAGGAAACGCCGGGAGGAGGCGCCCCGATTCAGACGTCAGGGGTGCGGTGGGGAGGGGAAGGCAGGGAATGCCACCACGCAGGCTGGTTTTGGCCCTTGCTGCCTCCTTAGCAGCAGAAACGGGCATCCAGGGGCTGGGCACAGCCATGCAGGGGCTGGTGCTGCCTGAATATCTCACCTGCGGCCATCCCGCTCCCCCTGTGCCATCCTCCAGCACCCCCAAAACTGTTTTAGCCAATGTCCCCCCAAACCACATGAAGCATCTGCTGCCGTCCCACTGCTCCAAACCCTGTGAGCCACCCCACAGCACTGCCGACCCCTGGCAGGGGCTGGGAGATGGGGTCCCCACACCCCCCCTGGGGACAGGGCCTGCCCCAGGCCGCCCTTTGAAGCGCTGCTGGCTGTCGTCCCACCTCCCAGTCTCCCCAGGAGCTTTGTGTCAGCAGATGCACAGGAAACACCTTTTTCCTACCCAAGCCTGGCTCAGCTGGGGGGGCCTCGGGCTGGAAGCACGCTGCTCCCCCGACCATGCAGGACTTAACTCCATCGCGCCCAGCGCTGCAGCCCCTACAGCCCCACTCCCCGTTGTAGCCGAGCCCTGAAAGGGGCTGCGGGGTCTGTCACACAGTGCAGCCGGCCAGAGCCCATCACATCGGCACACAGAAAGCAACGGCTACGCTGGAGAAGTGTGACCGAAGCCCGGCAGCATCGCCCAGCCCTTCCCAAGCAAGGAGAAAGCGGAGGCTCTAGCGGATACCTTGGAGGAGAAACAAGAGATTGATTTATTTCCAACTCCACTTCTAGAGCTAGAAAGTACCTGACCAAGGGGCCCAACTTGCCCCCGTGAACACAAGGATTATTCCAGTCTTCCCAGTATTAGAAGGAAGAGGTTCCAGTACCAAACCAATTCACCCCACGCCTGAAGAGTGCAGGAGTGGCACTCGTGGTGCTGATCCCGACTGCTCCCAGAGACGGGAGCACCCGGACACCCGGTGTGCTGTGCTCAGCCCCTCCCAGCCATGCGGTGACCCCGGGACAGCACCCAGCTGCCCGGCCCGGGGAACCCTAAGTTGACCTTCACATTGTAGGGATGGGGGGAAGATATGAACAGAAAGAGGTGAAGCAAAATACCCCCAGAGGGCAGGATTGGGCGATGGGATCCTGGGCTGTGAGCAGAGGTGCTTGGCGGAAAGAGCCACCAGCAGATGGGAAAAGCCCTTTGGGGCGCAGCAGCGTGAAGGTGGTGCAGACCCCCACCATGCTGAGCAGCACAGAGAGGTGGGGAGCGGGGCTGTGCAGGACCCCTGGAGTTAAGCCCATGGGCACAACAAAAGGGTGGCCAACAGGCAGAGATGCCCGGAGGTGCTGAGCCAGCCTGTGCCAGGCCAGCACCCTGCGGCCGAGCATCCCGGGGAGGGGTGTGGAGGAGGAGGCTGCCCACGCTGCAGCTTCGCCATCACCACTGGATGGGGAAGGGGCCAGAGCTGCCATCTGGAAGAAGAGGAGCTGGGAGGTGCTGCTGCGAGGCCAGATCCGACTCCGTTCCGGTGGGGTCAGAGGGTTGGCGTGGCTCTGTCGGGGGAGCTGCCTGCGTGCTCGCTCTTTTCCTTCGGCTCCAGCTGCGTGTCCAGTGAGTCGATGATTTCCCAGGTTCCGGAGCAGCTGGATGTGGGGGGGTCTTTGCTGCTGCCTTGATACCACAGCCCAAAACTGCAGAGAGAGCAGATAACGGCCGTGGGGGAGGAGAGCTTTCCCAGGGAAGCAGGCGGATCCCGACCTCCCTCCGTGTTTGGAGGTGGCAGCGGGACGCAGCCTGGCTGCGATCCCCTGGGAGCGTGTGGCACCCCAAGGCTTGCCCTCTACCTGCCCCGGGTGAGGCAGATCCTCCCCTGAACCAAGTGGCCCCCCCTTTGGCAGCATCCCTGCCAGCCCCGTGCTGGGCAGTCCACCTCTGTCCCCGTCACACCCTGCAGGGCAGGCACCAAGCTCAGCAGGTGCTGGGTCCACAGCAAAGCCCCAGACCTCCTCTCTGCTGGCAGAGCTGCCTGTCCCCACCAACACCCGAGCACAGGAGCAAACTTACAAGCTCCTAATTTTGGATTCAGGAGGCTGAGCATCCACAGAGTCTGTGCCGTGAGCTGGGAGCCAGGAACCCTCATCTTCATCGCTGCAGCACAAAGAAGTGGGGGAAAAACCTGCGCTGAGTCACAGGCTCACTGCGGCAGCGTGTCAGAGCCACCCTGGGGCTCCGTCCTGAGCTGAGCAGTGTCCCCCACAGAGCCACATGTGCAGGGGTGGCCGCAGAGCCAGGGACGTGGGGACTGGAGTCACTGTCCCCCGATGCACTGGCAGGCTGTGATGTGTCACGAGGCCACAGCAATGCTGGTGTCCCAGATACAGCCGTGTTTCATGGCAAGCCCAGCCCCGGCTCGGTTATCTTGAGCCACAAGACTCTCCAGACATCAGCTTCAAACCCCCAGCACTTGGCCAGCGGATGGTGTGTCCCCGCTTGCCACAACAGCAGAAGCAGCAACCTACTGTAACGTCTTTAGGCATCTCACCCCACGTGTCAAACGCACACTACAGTGGGGGAACAGCCCGACAATCGGCACCACCGACCACGGCTCAGGGCCAAGGTGGGTGACATCCTGGCACCAAGGCGAGTGACAGCCAGGGCTCGCAGGGAAGCAGGGAGCATGAGAGGTGACTGCAGGGCAGCATTCATGTGGCAGTGGGTCTCCTCGCCAGGCAGGGAGGCGAGCAGGCAGGAGTCAACTCCCCCAGACCCCCCTGCTGCCAACAGAGCCCCCAACACAAGCAAGCAGCAGGTCTCAGTAGCACAAGAGCTCAAGCCCCCTTCAGACCTTTATTAAAGCCCCTAAAAACCAGTGAGATCCAGCTCCCCTCATACCATACAGCAGCTTTAGCAAAGGCTTCCCCTCCCACCACCAGCAGACAGACAGAGCTGGGGCTGGTGCCCGGCAGTGCCCTCCCCTCCCCATCGTGAGATGTCTCTTGGAGCCAGCGCTGCCCACCAACATCTTGCAGAGCCTCCAGGGACCATCTCTACTGTCACCTTCAAAGGCTCTCTGCTGGACAGCCTCCAACTGTACAGCACCGGGACCAGCCTGCTGTGTCCAGTGGTCCCAGGGCCACCACCTCGCCTCCCCTTCCCACATCCGCGCAGGGACGAGTGGCATCTGGCCAGACCACGTGTTACTGGTGACAGGGACATACGAGTTGCAGCAAAGAGCCCAGCCCCTGCGGCGCTCCCAGGGCTAAGCCAGAGCAAGACACCAACTGCAGACATCAAACCTTGGATCTCTGGAGGGAGGCAGGGAGGAGGCAGCTCTTGGCCTGGGGCAAATCCCTTCCAAAGCGTCACACGGAAACACCCTGCACTGGAGGCTCCCAGTCCTTCCTCCCGGCGAGGACTCACCTGCTCTCCGATTCCTCCACCGTTCCCAGCATTTTGGCTCTGATTTTTTTTCTTTGTCTTTTGATAGTCGACTTCATTGCATCCAAGAAGAAGCTGGGAACTCTCTCTTCATTCAGCAGCTCCCTGACAAAAAGCAGCCAGCGGGTTAACCGAGAGCCTGGCAAAGAAATCTGCCCCGAACGCACCAGCAGCAGCCTCTGATGGGTGGCTGCAGGGACAGGAGGGACCCGGCCGGCTGCCCCATGCCACCGCCGCAGGACTCACCGCTGGTAATAGGCCAGTTCCTCCTGCACCAGGAACAGGTTGGTCTTGAGCTCATTCCGCTCTTGCAGGATCTGCTGCAGCTCTTCCTTGGAGAAGCAGCAGTGATCCGGGCTCCTGCCCACATCCTGATGCTGCAGCTCCTCCGTGGGTGATGATGCTCCTTCCTGGGGGGATGGAAGGACAGTCAGCAGGCAAGCGGAGCCCCCGGAGCCCCCACCCAAAGGCTGGGAGCCACATGCAGGCAGAGATAGAAAAGTCTCAGGAATGAGTTTGCTTGTCTAGAGTCGCTGCAGACCACAGACCACGGTGGTTTCCCAGCTCAGCCAGCACCTCCCATCCATTGCTACACGTGACAAACCCTCCTCAGCCTCCCAGCCCCGCCTGGCTTTTCCTCCCATCACCTCGCCTCACTCAGTCCTGTCTCCACCTCTATCAATTTTTACATACAAGACGTTACCAGCGTCGCAGATGCCACGCTGTTCAAATTGTTCAAAATTCTTCAAATTGTTCAAAAATTCAGCAGCGGGGCTCACTCCAGCTGCCGTATCCTGCTGGCAGCCGGCGGATCTGGGCGTGCCAGAAGCCCTGTGCAGGGCCGCGAAGGCCGGGCGGGTGTCAGCGATGCCCTGCACCAGCAGGACCATGGACTCAGACTCACCAGGCTGGGCTTTGGCCGCTGGATCTCAGAGGCAGTCCTGCTCCTCCTGCTTGTTTCCCTCTGGGTTTGCAGCATCGCGGCCTCCAGGTCCGACTTCTTCTCCAGCGCGCTCTTGAGCTGTGCCTGCACCACGGCCACCTTGTGACGCAGGTCCTCGTTCATGGCCATGAAGCGATGCAGTTGCTCCTGCAGCTGGAGGGCCGGGGGCAGGAGAGTGAGGTACAGCGCCTGCTCCCCCGACCCAGGCACGTAGAGAGCCCCCGGGGGAAAGGCACCTGCCCCAGCAGGCTCACCAGCCCCGACGGCAGCCCCAAGGGGAAGCTACATGAAAGCAGGTCCCCAGGCCCTTCACACGCCACACCCAGCAGCTCCCACACCCTCACCGCCTCCGTGTCTCGGCTCTTGCAGACGATCTCGTGGGCCTGGGCACGGAGCTCGTCCCTCTGCTTGTCCACCACCTCCTTCAGCCGCAGCATCACCTCCCGCTCCTTCCGCGCCGTGCTATCTGAGCCCAGACATCGGGGGGGGGACACAGGTGTGAGCGGCCCCCAGGACACCCCCCACCCCACAACACTACATGGTTTCTCGATGCTTCTGCAAAGCATCGTTCTACCATCGCTCCTGGCAGATGGCAGAGAGGAACAGTGGAAAGAGGGAAGCTGAGAGCTTTAGGCTGTGCCCGACGCACCCTTGTGCCCCCGCCACGCTCCCGGGGTGTTCTGGGGGTTTGGGGTTCCTGTGGTTTGCAGAATAAGTGTTTATGCTCCCCAGTAAGGCTCCAGGGCTGGGCAGCACAGAGAGCAGGTTCAGACCTGCACCCAGCCTCACAGGAACACCCCGGGGGGGCAGGGGACCCCGAACCCACCGGGACACCCACCTTCCTGGGACTGGCTCTCCACCAGCTGCCCCAGGAGCTGCCGGTTCTGCTCCTCCAGGCGGGCCAGGCGGCCATGCAGGGCTCGCTCCCGGCGCTCGGCCTCCCACAGCCTCTGCTCCGGGTCCTGCGGGGTGGGGACAGCCGGGTCGGAGCCACCCCCGGGGCAACAGGGACCGCCGGGTCGGAGCCACCGCGGAGGGGACCCCCAAAGGGAGAAGGG